CAACATGCACTGGAAACAAGTCTGACTTACTACCGGCGATGCAAACCAAGCTCCTGCTCCGCTCGTACAGGGACCGGGTGGCCCTTAGCAAAGGGCCCCGGACCCCGTACTCCCGGCGCACCCCCCACAGGGCGCTGCGAGGGACACGGTCGAATGCCTTCTCCAGATCCACGAAGCACATGTGGACTGGTTGGGCAAACTCCCATGAACCCTCCGCCACCCTGAAGAGGGTATAGAGCTGGTCCAGTGTTCCACGGCCAGGACGAAAACCGCATTGTTCCTCCTGAATCCGAGGTTCGACTATCGGTCGAATTCTCCTCTCCAGTACCCTGGCATAGACTTTCCCAGGGAGGCTGAGGAGTGTGATCCCCCTATAGTTGGAACACACCCTCCGGTCCCCCTTCTTAAAAAGAGGGCCCACCACCCCGGTCTGCCAGTCCAGAGGCACTGCCCCCGACCGCCATGTGACGTTGCATAGGCGTGTCAACCAAGACAGCCCAACAACTTTTGCTTAAAGGAGTCAGAACAGATGGTCCAAAATCAGTTACATGACAAAGTGCACGTGTAAAAGAAGACAGACCAATATTTTAGCTGAAGCAGTGACGTTACATACAGTGGCTTCAGAAAGTACTTTAGAGAGGTTTCACTTTAGATTCCTTTTGTCAGGTCACCGAGTGTGAACTGAGGAACAACAATGAAATCTCCAGCAAAACGAATCCACGCTCTCTGAAGCCACCGTCCACTGTGTTTACCACTGTGCTGAGCTCCTTCCTTTCTTACCAGGCTGCTCAGCTGCTCTTCCAGAGACCTCTTATCTTGCTGCACAGACTGGAGCTCTTTGTGTTTGCCCTCCAGGTCAACACTCAGTTCACTGATCTGCAGGGGGAGCGTACACATGTAGAGCAGAGCCATAAAAGAAGCATTATTCACAGCAGCTTAAACCAGCCACGCATAGCAGGATGTGAGCCTAATTTACATTAGGAGCTAAAGGAGAACTTAGATCAGGTCTTTCAGTTTTTCCATTGTGCTGTAAATGATATGCCGATAACAGTGATGAGCAGCCAGAGTGTTTTCGGGGTTGTGGCTCTCGCCTACATCAACAAACACCAAAGCTGGGAATTCCTCCCACAAACCTTCTTCTCCTGAGACTGTGCCTGGGCCTTGAGGCTGCTGATCTGTTGCTGGGACAGGGACACAGCATCCTCCTTCTGCTGGGATGCCCGGAGCCTGAGCTGGAGATCTGCCACCTCCCTCTCCAGCTCCATGATCCTGGAGCGCTCAGACACCGTGGCCACCTACAGCGACAGCGTAAAGAGGAGGCATGAGGGGAAAGAGGAGACGGGAGGGCAGGAAAACAGCAGTGTGACCCCAATATGAGCAGCACCACAGTCATTTCATTTGGATTTAAGCTAGTTTAGCAACAAAGACTCAAATCAGTGTGAAAACATTACTAATGCTTTATTTTCATTACCGGCTACTTTTTTAATTCATCGTTTTGTCTGTGAAAGATAAGAAATAGTGAGTTCCAGTGTCTAACCCCAGGGCACTGACAACACAATGGACTGGACTGTATTGTCTTATATAAATCTTCAATAATCTTTACCCTGCTGAAGTAATTCTACAGTTACTCGCTGTTATTTCCTATTATTCTGGAGAAGTCAGTGTCAGAAATACACAACAAAGAATTTAAGCTTTAAATGAGTGTAACAATAACTGGACGCCACTGGTTTGCCAGTAAATCCAATAATGAAAAGATGAGAATAAAACTATTTATGACTCCTTTAAGCAAAAGTTTAACGACTTGGGAAACAGTTTTTCTGCCCTCTTGCTGAGTTCGATGAGAAGACTGACCCCACTCTCATGTTTGTCTGTTAAATATGTTCCAGAAACAGGCCAAAACCCTTAAAAATGTTTCTGGGAAGGGGTTATAAAGGTGTATGTCTTTGGTAGGAACACATGGGCTTCGGCCTGAATGCAGAGGTTTTAAAAGACAGACTAACTGTTGGTTTTGGTCTTTTCATTTGTTGAACAGTTGCAGATCAATGTCAGCCTTATCCCTTAAGGCCGACATTGTCCTTTAATAAACATGAATGCACATGCATTTTGTTCAGGCTGGGTGATCAGAGGTTAATGTCCCTGTGCACGGCCGACCAGTGTGGCGAGCAGCTCCTGATCATCTGCATCATGTTTACAGGCTGTGGGTCCTGCACTATATTCTAGGAGTCATTATTAAAGCACATCCCAGTCCTGCTGTGGGACTGGGACTGCCAGCATTACCCTAGTGTCCTCTAAATCCCTCTGGAGTTTTTCAGCCTTGGTCTTTTCAAAGAGCAGGCTCTGCTCAAGCTCCTTTATGTGGGCATGCTCCAGTCTGGTCTGCGTCTGTTAGTAGGAGAGAGCGGGAAGAGGAGGAGAACAAACAGCAAAGCAACACTGACATGCCAGCTTTGTGCCACGGACCGGGAGAAGACAAGACTTTAAAGAGAAGAGCAGTCAGTCAGACAGAAAGCACCGGGGGTTTCCAGCATTTCATTTACATCAGCAAAGGAAGAGACTGCTATTTCCAGCATTAATTATTTCAATCATGTCATTGTGACTCTCAGAAACATCTATTCCTCCTCTGCTGGCACTTGTTCGCCTGTGAGGAGCAGTGTTTGCTCTGAAGAGTGATACAGCTGCAGAGAAGCATATGAGATGAGTGACAAAAAGAACAGATTAGTGGATGCAAAGATGAGGAGGAGATGGTAGTGTGTGGCAGATGGCTAGAAAAATCTGAGGGGAAGTGAAAGATGCATGGGTGAAAGAATAAAAGGAGCCTGAACAAGAGAGTAAATGAATGATTCAAAGAGTGCAGGAGAAAGAAAACCTCAGACAGGATGATTGATTCAATCACCTCTGCTTCTGTTTTAGAGGAAATCATGAAGCAGTAACACAAGGCAGTTAGCTTTATGCTAACAAAATGAGAGGAGCAAGCAAAACCAAAAAACCAAAACCCAGATGTTCATGTACAGGAGACTGACATTACTTTGACAGAGTTTAATAAGAACTAAGCAGCTGAGGTGATTCAAATAAGTCGACCAACTGTCCATCTAGTTTGTCAATAATTCACTCACAGACTTTCATTACAAAAGCACCAACGTGATCAGAGAGAGACAGACTGAGCAGGAGTTTAACTGAGAATCCAATTATAAACCACAAGTTACCTCCAGGTCTCCTTTGGTGATGCAGGCTTCTTCTACACGAAACTGCAGGTCTTCCACTTTTCTGTCAGAGGGGGACGTGTGCACATTAGACGCTGGCTGAGAACGACACTTGGGAGTATAAAAGACCTTCGCTGAGTTGCAAAGAGACTTAGTCTTAATTACAACAAAGTGTCAGAGCAGCTCTCAAATGATTAACCAATAGTAAAGCCACATGTATTAGGATATTTCCCAATAGTCAGTACAACATTTCACAGATCACACATCCCACTGAATACAGTGAAAACCTCACACTGATGCACAACAAAAATATTCACCCATTCTTCAAACAGTCCAGTGCATCTAGAATGAAGTTTTCCATTTGACAGAGACACCTCCCATCTCTGGGTTTGTTATGCTTCCAAAAGCTGCCAATCAAAAAATGAAATGCACAGTCAAATCACCTCTGACAGGCAGCAGAGCACCCACCTCTTCTCCTCCTCCAGCTGGTTGAGCAGCTCCACTTTGTCTCGATCTGCTGCCTCCACCATCGAGCGCAGCTGGTCCAGCTTGGCTTCCATCTCCATTGCGTACTGTAACATACAGAGCCATCGTGTGACATATAATGGAAGGTGACACAGAAATGACACGTTACCAAAGATGATAACACAGCACCAACAACACTGACCGTTGACCGCTGCACATGCTGCTCCCATGCATCATACATGCTCTATTATATTCTTATATATTTTATTATATCTCTGCATTTGCTGCTTAAAGTGCCTTAGATTTATTGTTACTTCTTTATCTACTTTATATTTCATTTGTATTTTGTAGATGGCAAAGTAAGAATTTCATTGTAGAGGGAAACAGGTTTCCTAACTGTGCATATGACAAATAAACACTTTGACCTTTGGCCTTTGAAGGTAAATCTGAGGACTCACAAGAAAGAAAATATATACAGAAGATTTGTATAATGTCCAAAAACAGGTTCTCACTGTGTCATTATGGGTTATTAAGTAGAGACTGATGGGCTAAAACAGCACTTGTATCATTTCAAAATGAAAGTGACTGTCTGCTGTGAAAAAAACAGCATGAAAATATGAATTCACTTCTATATCACAGCAGCTCTCACTACTACAAACTTTATTAAATAGAGGCGAAAAGTAATTCTGATACTTATGAAAATGATTCGTCTTTTAGCCAGTGTTCTTCTTCGCCTGCAGAAAACACACAACGTGTGCCACAGTCTGACCTGGTCCTGCCCTTTCCTCAGCACAGCCAGCTCCTGCTGCACCTCTCCTGCATGGCTGGTGGCCTTCGCCACCTCACACCGCTCCAGGTCCCTCTCTGCCAGCAGCTGTTCGATGTGCTGCTGCTTCTCCTTCAGAGCTTCCTGCAGCGCTGTTGTGCCAGAAATCTTACGAGCATACCGGGCAGACGTCTCCGTCAGCTGTAATCGACAACATATATTCACTTGTAGCATGGTGTACGTCACCCTCTGTAAACTGCTGGATCGTCCCAAGCGTGTGGAAGGCATTCAGCTGTGGTTTACCAACAACAAAGATCGGTATCACTTATGAATGACAGTTTTCTACTACCGTTTCCCGTGGGACACCACAAGGCCCCGTCTTATTTACACTATATGAGCGTCCACTGGGGTTTCTCTTTATATTCCTTATGACTGCTACGCAGACATCACACAGCAGCTGTACTAACCAGTGAAACCAAACAACACCGACTCTTCAGTCTCATTGTTTTGAGGACATCAAAACTGGATGGTCAAAATGTTCCTTCAGCTAAATACATACAAAACAGATGCTACTTAATACTAAGATAACCAAAATTCAAAGCTGAGGGACACCGATTCATCTCCGTCACATCTTTCAAGCCTTAAAGCGCCTAAAATCTGTTCATACTCATTCATATCACTGTCTCCGTCACATCTTTCAAGCCTTAAAGCACCTAAAATCAGTTCATACTCCTTCATATCATTGGTTAATTCTACAAGGTGAAACTGTAGAAACTCAAATCAAATACATATGTTGTCAATAAGAGCTGCTCACGTTTGCATTCGTTGCTCCTCATGTTGACACTGTGTTCTCTCAAACCATATCTGCTGCAGGACCAAACAGAAAACCTACTGCTGAGCACGGGACAGGAGGAAAGTCACCTCACGTTTGACAGGAATTTTAATTTTTTGTTTAGGAAATAACTCCTACACTCAGCCCTTGATGACAAATTCCCAAGATCTACCTACACACTGAGGTTTGGGAACAAAGTGGACCCTGTAGTGCGAGTGTGAGTCCTACCAGTCCTGCTCGGCTGGGTTTGCCGCCGACTGAGGAGGTGGCGGAGCTGAGCGTGCTGATGGAGGAAGCACTGGGACTCCTCTTGATGAGCGACCTCCAATGTGAGCTCTTCGCCTTGGTGGGTGTCGTGCAGGGGAAGCCTATACGAGTCACTTTGTGGACAGGAGCGAACAGACCGTACCGGGGCATGCACTGAAAGAATCTGAAAGGGAAACGGATGCAGAACAGAATCACAGAGCTGCTGGTCTGAGTAGTTTCTTCACAGGTCACTGACCTCTGGCAGTATTCTTTACCGTACCTGGTCCCTGCTACAGCGCCATCATTCTTTCCAAGAGGTTCATCTAGTTCTACACCACACCACTCTCCTTTGGCAAAGTCTGTCTCTCCCAGAAACCGCACCACTCCCGCCTTGGTGCCACCAACCTAGACACAGAAAACACAACAATGTTTTAGTTCTTTCTTTGTCCTTTCATGACGAGGGCCTTCACTCTGGTGTCCCGTGACAGACTGAATTACCCAACCAATACATGAAGTCTACTACCCATTTCACAGACATACTGTGCACTGTACAACCAGTTAAACCTTAGCACAGTCTGGAGAACACAAACGTAGAGTCTGGAAAAAGACACATTTTCCAAATATCTTCACAAAGCAAATCCAAACGAAGCTACTGGAATCCCCACACAGTCAATCCTTCCAGGGATTTGGTCATTTGTATTTATCTGTAGTGTGTATTTACCCACATATAGAGATGAACAACTGGCCTTGTACACTGATTTGTGGCCTTAGATTATGCTAATGATCACATTTTACAGACCTCCACTGTTGTCCACATACTATTAAACTGATCTCTGCTCTGTTTACACCCCTCCGCTAGCTGCTCACGCTGCACATAATGTTTTGGAGCAGGAGGTCCACGGCACAGGTGAGAGATTCTGGAGTCACACACATTACACCACACTCATTGTTGCTTTTAGTCTCTGGATGGGATTTGTGCAAAATAACAGAAACACTGGCTGTGTCCTTTAAGACAAGTTTGTCCAGTTCTACGCAAAACACACGCATGAACAAACCCCACAGAAAAAAAAGAGAGATCTAGGACATGAAAACTGTCCTGGTGGGTTCCAACGCGGTGCTTCCTACCAGCACACGGTCTCCCAGCCTCAGCTCCCTTCGGTTCTTCTTTATGGAGTCTGTGTCCGAGAGGTTAGACACCGACTCGCTGGACGTGAGCATCCGGTTAAGTGCGCCGCTTGTCTTTATGCCGGTGTCTTGAGCTGGAGGAAGACACAGTTTTAGTATGACGCAACAACACAAGCACAAATCAACAGCACTGCTTTAACTTCACAAAGGAACAGAACCGTCCATGTTTTCTGCACTAGCCATTACCAGCTGAGGTGGGCACAGCAGGTGCCGAATCGGTTGCAGAGGCTCCTGGTGCTGGACTGGCCTGCCCTCCGTTCACCTCCTTCTCTGGCAGTGCAGTCCTGAATAGCTTTGAAGGCCGTGTGAAAATCCCCCTCCCGTCCTCACACTGGAAGTACCGCACCCCTGCCACCGACCCATCGTTCTTCCCGATAGGTTCATCCAGCACGATGCCCGCCCACTGCCCGGGAGCAAACTGTGTGCCCCCAATGAACTGCACGTAGCCGGGCTTGTTGCCATTGACCCAGACCTTCTCTCCGATCTTAAAGTCGCCACTTTCATCTGGAGCTGGAGAGGTCTCACTGCCGGGGGACTTCTGAGGAGGGACTGGCTTTGGAGTAGCTGGAATCACAAGCATGTTTTATTAACCTCGATCCACCTAACAGCACGACCAGAGGCGGTCGTCATAGCACCCCAGGTTGATATCCGAGCTTCTGTAATACACCACTGTGGGCTTTGATAGCTTTACATTTCAGCATATGAATATGTTTTTCTACAAAACCATGTTGTTCATTTCTAACAAAATGAGCCAGACCTCTCAACACATCAGTGCTTTGTCTCAGTGTAAAACAGAACAGAGTCTAAAACTGTAAAAAGACCCGAAGAGTCCCTTCCTTCGCTAATAGTTATTCCTATAAATGTATTACTTCACTGTCTTCTTACCAGAGGATGGGGGCATCCGCGCTGGCACCCCAGATGGACGGGCTATTTTACTCGGGGGTTTGAGCCCACTGACCTTGCCTGGTGTACTCATGGCTCCTTGTTTGTCCATGGGGTGGGGGACTAGGCCTTCCCCACCACCCCACACAGTCCTAGTTTGACAGAAGGAAGCTGGAAAACCAAAATTAAGAGAAAATGTCAGTTCAACCAAAAACCCTCTGATAAAAGCTCCTCCAATATAAATATTTTCCGTTCTCTGACAGTAACTTTGACTTCAGATGATAATGACAGAGTGTTCTCACCATTTTCTGACACTTTACACTGAACAATCAATCAGTTAAATCAATTACTGATTATAATGTTGATAATGCTGCAGCCTCACAGCTCTCTATGATGGAGTAAAACCAAGTTACCAGTTTTCAGTCTGCTAATTACTTGACAAATACAAAAATTGTAGTAATATTATGAAACAACTTAATTATGAATGAGCTCATTATACATTAAAATAATTTCGGTCTAAGGTTTTGACACAGGGTCCCTCTACAACACCAGAGGATACAGGATCTGGCACTGGAGTTCAGAGGTAAAAAAAATAAAATCTAATTATGGAAACAACTGATATGGATTAAACCTGGGGTTGCTGGGCTTCCTGGAGGTCTGGGGGCCCCGGGCAGTTACCAGCCTTGACTCCATACAAAGACCGGTTAGGAGCGGACGTGTAAGCTGTCATGTTACCTGAACGCAGCTCCTCCCGCCCAGCCGGTGTTTCCAGACAAAAACAACAAGCACACCTATATCTGTCAAACCTCCTCCTGTGGCTGCCCGGTCTCTGGTAGCCTGGGGTGTCTCTGTGTGTCCTGCCTTACTGGATCTGATATCCAGCATGGACACGTATGTAAACATGTGCTGTAGCTGACAAACACATGAGGGGACCGGCCCGGGTCGTTTGGGCTGGGCTCCTCCGATTAGCCGCATCTCTGGAGCTAATACGATGAACAAGGTGTCCACATTTTGTTTCACAGCGTCAGCGTCCTGTGATAAAACCTGATCATTGGCAGCGGCTCCGGGTGTTTTACTGTCATATTCTGTGCCCTGGTAGGGTTCGGGTTCGGGTTACGCCTTGTTTCTGCTGGAATGCCAAAGCTAGCTAGCTACAAATTAGCCAGAAAGCATAAACTGAGTGAAGGCTACGAAGCTGACGCCCTGTCGAGGTGGTGTGGTGGTGTAAAGCACAACAAAGACAGACACTCGTGGAGAAAGTTGTTGTGGAAGCTTACTTGGTCCCTTTCGGTGAATTAGGTCTCAGTAAAGGATGCCGTGGCTAGGTGCACCGTGCGTTACCTCGCATGTTTTTCCATCCCGACGTCTGACGTCACCCGGGGAGTTTGTGCTGCGTTCACGGACCAAACTGTACAACAACACTGCACGTGCCAGGGGAATTGCCAGCGGGTACAAAATAAACAAAACAAAGGAACTAGGTAAATAAATAAAATCTAATCAAAATTTCAGATCCACAGTATGTGTATATACAGTACATGTACCCAAACTATCACACCCACACGCACTACTTGATAGTTCAAAATATTTAGAAGATTATAAAATATGTGCACAGACCACAAATAACAAAAATCCTATGTGTCTTTATCGCTTGCTGACAGTTTTGATTGCGGGGCCATGTTCAGACAACTCGTGACAGGAGGTTCAGTTTCAATATATTAACTTAGAGGGAACCTGGTGGTGTTGAGGCGGTTTCCTTGGAAGATATAAAATATAAATGCAAAATGATCAGTTTGATTTCCCAGCTGTAAAAGACAGCACATCATAAAAGGAAGAAACATAGCACAAAACTGGTTATAGCTACCCTAATTTTTATTTTTGAAAACCAAAACTGTGTCAAAATACAAAGACTGGAAATGTGCTCTCAAGATGACAAAAGATAGTCATAGAATACATTTAATATAGTACAGAAATGCCATTATAAAATAGGTTAATACATTTTTATCAATAGCCAGGCCTTGAACATGCACTATGTATTCATTTGGTAAGTTAAATGTTGAGTATTCCTGCAGAGTGAGCAGCCAGCTTTATACCCTTCTACCATCGATGGTGGAAATGTCATTCTCTGTTGAAAAGGTCTGATCAAGATCAGACCTTTTCAACAGTTTATTCACCATCTTCCTGAAGGTGCCACTAAAGACAGGGCTCGAGAAATAATAGACCAGAGGGTTGAGGACACTGTTGAAGTAGGTGAAACACACCGTGGTGTAGAACACCAGGTTGACCTCTTCAAAGTATTCACAGTCGTTGTACCATACCTTGAGAATCCATACAGCGATACGTGATACGGTGCTGGGAAGGAAACAGGTAATAAAGGTGAAAGCCACAGCCAAGACAAACTGCACAGCTCGTTTGATTTTCCCCGTCTTGTCCACAGTCCTGTTTCTCAGCTGCCATGTGATTCTGATGGTGCAGAAGGCTACGATTACAGCAGGCAGGACAAACTGGGCAACATACAGAGTATTGTGCCAGGTGGCAAGGGGGCTGAAGTCCATGCAGATGTTGAAGCTCTCACACTGCGTACGATTGCTGTAGTAGAAGAAGTGCTTATCGGTAAGAAGGTACCCCGTGGCGAGAAAAATCAGACCCCAGAGGCCGAGGGAGACCCAGAGAGCAGTTATCAGGCCCCTTCGGTTGATCCTGCACAATGGATGGACAATCTTGAAGTAACGATCAACAGCCACAGCAGTGAGGAAGAAGATCCCTGCTGCACGGCAGGCGGCCAGCATGAAGAGCAGGACGCGACAGGGGACATCGCCGTAGAGCCAGTTTTTTGCACGGCTGTAGTAGTCTGCTCTGAAAGGGAGGCAGAACAGCACAACTGAGTCAGCGACAGTCAGGTGAGCCAGGTACACAGAGCTGGGCTTCCACGAGTCCATGTGAAACATGAACATCCACAGGGCGACAACATTCCCCATCAGTCCAAACACAAACTCGGGGATCAGTACTGCAGGCAAAACCTGGTCCAGGATGGGAGTTTCGAAGGCACAGCACTTCTCTGAGTGCGTGAGATTCATCCTCTGAACCACCAACCTGCTCCTCTAGTGTCAACACAGGTACGTTGTGCAATCATGCCTGTGCTCCTGCAAACGATCCTCAGACAAACACACCAATTCCTCAGTGGAGTGAACATCTGTGCATGCGTTATCTTTGGGGAAGTGGTATTGACCCAGAGGAGCATGGAATCAACTGTAAATGTTATCTGTCTGGGGAGGGTGCCTTCATTATAAAACTATTATGCAGGGGAATAGGCGCACTCATGGGGACTGAGTGGGATGCATGAAAAACAAGTAACCTGCGGCCATTTCAGTGACACAGAAAACACAGCTGACTGCACCAAATCCTGACCCTGAAAAGGAAATCCTTTTTAATGCTTAGAAAATCAGACAGACACACTGGGAAAGAGAAAGACCAAGTAGACAGGTGAAGGAGACTGAAATTTATTAGCCTACAGTTTACTTGAGTGAACAACATCTGGGAGGGATTCACGTCATACCACACCTTTGGCAAACAAGAGAAAGCAGCTATGAACTAAAAATGCCAAGTGAGTGGCCAAGTCTGCAGCTTCTTATGTACAGTAAATAAAATAGGTATAAAATGACCGAAGGTGTACATTTGGCCAGGTTGTCACTGTTGCAGGTCACATCCATCTCAGTAAAAGTGCATATTTGGTCTTCACTTCTTGACTTCACCCAGATCATCAATGCTGTCATCGTCCACCTGCAGCGAAAACATACAGAACGAATTCAGAAGCTGTGTGAATCTGCACATTTTAATAACTGAGGTCAAAGGTTTTCATGATGTTATGAGTAGAGGTTCGAACTCTGTGCAAAACTATAAAGCAGTAAACAAATGAATACATCAACAGAGACAAGTCACTATATGCAGGCCGAACCATTCGGACAGCGTCATACACGGCTCACCTCAGGCCACTTTTCTTGAATGACGTCGATGATGTCGTCTGTAAAATCTCCCTGAATGATTATTTCATCATCTGCTGTAACTGAGGCACCACAAGAGAATTTCTGGGCAAAGAAGCGCTGAGCCTCTTTAAGGTCAATATCTGCAAAAGTCAGCACAGGACTTGTGTTGGGAATAAAGCATCCAAAGAAACTAAATTAAGCATCACTGACAGTGATAGAACAGAGCTCCTACCGAACGTTGCCAGGCCGCACACCCGTGTGACATATTTCTTCTTGGCTCTTGGGATTTTTGCTATCGTGACTTTCTGGGGCACCGTCTTCTTTTTCTGTTTGATCTGACCTCTTCCGCCTGGAAAGGTAAAAGGAGGTAAGCCAGATTAAAGAGTCATGATGTTAATATCATCAGACAACAAAACCAGCTGTTTCACCAGCAACTTTAACCATCATACTGTAGCTACATGGTGAACTTCAGACAGCAGCACACAATCACCAAGTTATAATCCTTCAGATTCTCATGAAGTCTGACTCTGTTTTTATAATATTCATGTTGGTATTTCTCTTCATTAGCCATTCAATCTATTTACATAGTCTATTTACTTCTATACACAGTAATATTCACTGTCACTCCTGTGCTGGATTCAAAGTGCCTTCCCCTGCACGAAGGGGTCTCAAACGACGCAGCATCTAATCCATTGTTCCTGCTTTTCTTTTTTCTTGCTCTCACACCATCATAAATACCTGCTAAATGTTTATCAAAAATGCTTCTACAGTAACGAGTTGCAGTCATTTCTATGCATTTCTTGGCAGTGTATCAAATGTAATATCACAGGGAACAGACACCGAGGACAGAGCAGCTACAGGCAGCTGATGAAGAGCTGCAGGTGGCAGGCTGCCTCACAGTTCTTGAGGAAGAAACCTGCCACCCAGTCCAGTGGTAGGGGGTGGGGTTTAATAGTGTTTGGACAACAGTGGAGGTCTACAGCACAGGCCGATAAACTGAGCCAGGGTCTGGACTCACACACATTACAGTGAGGACACCACATTCACTGGTGCTGCTGGTCTCTGGACGGGGTTTGTGGGGAACACAAACAGAGAAATCAACCAACTGCAGCCTTTAACAATCACACTTTGAACTATGTAGGTAAAACATGAAAGCTTTGACCCCACCCCCAACACGATTTTTAAAGTATACCCAACACCATAATTCATAATAGCCACAACAGTAACAATTGATTCTGAATCATCTGACCGTACCTCTCTTCTGTTTCTTCTTCTCCTCCTCCTCGCCTGCAGGGGGCGCATCTCCAGTGCCGGGTTCCTGCTTGGGTGCATTCGCTGCCGGGCCAGTAGAGTAGAAATAAAATGGTAAGTATTAAAACCAGTCCAGAAGCAATGGGATGAGGACTAGGAACATCTGTTTTAACTTTTATTTTATTCCACTTTTTTTGAGTGAAATATTTCACAGCTTTAGAGCTTTGCAGTAACTCCTGCATATTAATCTACAAGTTTTTCACTTGGTGTAAACATTATAAAGCTTCAGTGAAGAGCAAGATGACATAGAATATCCTATATAGGTTCTTCAGAAAGTGTAGAATATGAATGTTTTTTCCAACATTAAAACTACTTAAGGGGGAAAAAGTATGTCACCACACTGTGGGTATAACAATAAAAAGTGACAAGATGACAAAACATTTGCAGATACAACAATCTAATGAGCACGGGGAGACAGATCTTTTCACCTCCATCAGAAACATGCGTCACTTAAATGTAGTTCACCAAACGTAAGCTGGATCACATTACAGTACCAAGCATCTGTAGAGCTCCCAGATGTTTACAGTACAGCTTGTGAGGAACTCTGGGGAAATTCAAGAAAGGTGTCATTGGCTAAAATCTTAAATGGCACTCACCTACAGTCATCCTGGCAAACACATCTGGGAAGTTTTTCTCGAGCCACTGCCTACATTTTGCTGGCTCAGGCATGTACTCACAGTACTGCAGGCACAACAGCATAGGTTCAGTTAGAACTCAAAGAACTGGTCACACAACAAAGTGTCTGAATTGTCTGATAATGAAACTTACCTCTGTAGGCAGAGAGCACACTGCAAAGAAAGAAAGATATCATGATTTGAAAAGGCACTAATGTGACTCATTGTGTAAAGATGTCAAAGTGAGTGAAAGCGTACATAGTTTACCTCCACAATAAAGAACCTTCAGTGGGTACTTTGAGTCAGGGTCAGCGGTGCCTTGCTCTGATCTGCTTTCTGAAGAACCAGACTCCATCTCAGTAGTAGCCATCAGAAATGATCTGGATAAGAGACAGACAGATGGACAGAAAACTGAAGGCTAAGGGCACATACTGTGTAAGCAGGTGGAAATTATAAACATGAGTTTATTTGCACAGGTTCAAATAAAATAACATAAAGAAACCACAGTGTAGAAAGAGGAAAAACATCCCGGTGGGTGCACCAATCATCTCTACCTGCAGATGAATTTTCTGTAGACTGATCAATTAATCAACCAAGCTCTGAGTTGCAATTCTCAAAAAGAGCTTTTGGAACAAAGAGGATTTTGTGAAGAGTTGTGAAACATGCACTTGCCCAGACTAAACTGCAAAATACAGACTAGATTACAGAATAATGCGTAAAATAAAGAATAACCTTAAGAAGGCATGAATGAACAGGCTGCTGCCAACACTTCATCATGCTAGCCTGCCTTGCTCATATCTATTGTCAACACAGATCAGACACATGTGCAGCAACAGGATAAAACATAATCAAACAGAGTGTGAATTGAAACAGGCCACGGGTTGGTCTGATACGGGCTGGTTTAACAGGCGACTGCAGCAAACCATGAATAGTTGGGCTTGACAGCTTTGAACAAGTCAGCACAACTAGCTTTACCTGGCTAACACATGGGCTACATCGTTTAGGTTCGAGTCTTTTCATCTAAATTACTTCGATTTCTGTGTAACTGAAGGTAGGTACTACCACCACAGAGACAAATTGCACCTGACTGGATAATCCAGTTTCACTGTTTTCACACCAGTGATCACCACTGACCCAGCTGTCACCGTTAGCACCCCAGTTTAGTTGGTGTTAGCTTAGCAGGCTAACTGGGCTAATGTACCGCTAACCGTGCCGATTACTCTGCCAAATAACCGAATAAACACATAAGAAACGCCGAATTACATACCCCGGAATTGAAACTCTAAAACCGATGTCTGTTCAGTATCGTGGCTCGCATTATTGACATTAGTTTGACTTTTAGAAAACCATTCTTATTAAACAAGGTTTAGCCCGCCTACTTTGAGCACGCCTGGTAGCTTCTTCTTCGTCCTTTATTTGTTGAAGAGGTGGATACACAGTGCTAATGTACAACAGCGCCCCCTGTCGAGCAAATACATTTTCTCAAGTAGGCTACTATAACTTTCCTCAGCACATGAACCTCAAAATGAACATAGGCTGTGTTGTGAGAGTAGTCATCCAAGCTCAGATGAATCTATATTCATTCTGTTTTCAGGGTTCATGAGCTGGAAACAGAAGAAAGAAGTGGAAAAAGCTACCTCCAGCTCTAGCTTTAACTGATGTTAACAAATACTTTCCCCAACCTACACTGTAAATACATGGCTGATGTTATCAGTATGAACAAGAGTATATAATTTGGTGTTATTAGGTAAAATTGATTGTGTTTGTTCATAATTGTAGATGACGATCTGACAATATTTTAGAACTGTTTAGCCTCTATATTATTACAGATAATTCCAACGGGTTTAGTTTCTTTTTTCTTGCCACTGTATAGGCGTATCTCAGTAGCTGTCTTTTATTGCCAAAAAATAATCATTTGACTTTAAATACAATAAGTAGATGTAACTGATACAGCTTTTACTTGTAA